ACCCAGGGTCATGTAGATCCCCTTTTGGGACCTTCTGACAAACGAAGTCAATGGGAAAGCCGGATTCACTTAACAACCATGTGGCTAATTTAACGACTGCAGCAATTCACTCCAAACAACTGTGGCAAGAAAGGCTGTAAAATGGAGCAAAAATTCACTTAACAAATGTCTCACTTAAGCAACAGAAATTTTGGGCTGAATTGAGGTCGTAAGTCAAGGACTACCTGTATAGAAACTTAATTCTTATTGAAAACCATTTCAGTGTAGGACCACATTATTATTAATGTATCACGATCATTATTATGATCATGCCACATCCACATTTTTTAGGATTCCTATCCTAACGCAGAGGTCTCCAAACTTGACAACTTTTAAGACTTGTGGACTTCAACTCCCAGAATTCTCCAGATGGCTGGAGAATTCTGGGAGTTGAAGTCCACAAGCCTTAAAGTGGCCAAGTTTGAGGACCCCTGTCCTAATGTGATAAAAAGTTTATAGCAGTGTCTCTCAATTTCAGCAAATTTAAGATGTGTGGATATGTGGAGGCATGTCTGGTTGGATAATTCTAGGAGTTGAAATCCACACATCTTAAAGTTGCTGAAGTTGAGAGACACTGGTTTACCAGGTTGATTTAATGTATTCTCAAAGGTGCTTTTCATTTTTTAAAAGGCAACTAGACTTTTTTTTATTTAAAAAAAAATAAAAAATAAAAAGCACTTTTGAGACAACCTGGATGGCCTGGATATCTGAGAATCTGCATGGAGATTTAATGTATTATTTACTATCTATACTTTTTTAATGACTTGAACTAAATTTACCAAGCTTTGGCTTAAAAGTTTAATAGAGGCATGGCAATTTTGTTTTGAAAATAGATATGAAGTATCTCGCAGTGCTTTAAGTTTCTAATGATGTAATTAGACTATACTAGCCATCTGTTTCAGATCAGGTGCCTATCTGCCTGCATTTTACTACCTGCGTCATCTATTTCCTACATTCTTTCAAAAATGTATAATAATAAAATGAGGAAAAATAGATGTGTTGAACTCCTCCTAAACTGTTACAAGGAAGGGCCCAGCCTCAGGTCCTGCTGCAACGTTTTCCTTAGTTTAGTCCAGGGGTCTCCAATCTTAGCAACTTTAAGACTTGTGGACTTCAACTCCGAGAATTCCTCAGCCAGCAAAGGTGGCTAAGGAATTCTGGCAATTGAAGTCCACAAGTCTTAAAGTTCCCAAGGTTGGAGACCCCTGGTTTAGTCCTCATCCATTCTAAGTCCCTTGAAAAAATGCAGGATGACTTGTGTAAGCATCCTGCAAAAGATGCTACTTCTATTCTGGAGATCAACCAAGAAGACAAAGAAGACGGTAAAAAAACCTTATAAGAATGGAGATTAGAAATTCATTCATTCATTCTATAGCAAAGTTTGATTTTATTTCACTGCAGGCAACATGATTGAGAGGGATGCTAAAGCTGGGCAGATGTCACACAATAACGTAGGGCAGCAGCTTCTTCCCTATTTGGGTACATTAAAACCCAATGTGTATATTCATTTCCACCAATCAAAAGTACATTAAATTAAACTTGACATATTTAAGTTCTACTTAGGCTTAAGCACTTTGGTTGACATCATCTTTCTATAAAGAAACATGGCAAGATCTAGTTTAGGAGTATCCAACTTTGGCAATTTTAAGACTTGTGGACTTCAACTCCTAGAATTCCTCAGGCTGAAATTCTGGCTGGTTGACAAATTCCAGAAGTTGAAGTTTACAAGTCTTAAAAGTTGCCAAGGTTGAATGCCCCCAATCTAGATTATATGTCTGATCAGGTAACAAGCTATACAGAAATATTGGTCATCTTGGGAAGAAATTTTAACTCAAGATTAGGTCTTAATGATTTGACCCTTTATTTAAAATACCATAACTATCCTCCAGAAAACCACCACCCACTGCCATTCTTAGACCAACTGTCTTGGTTTGTAAACCATAATTGTTTGGCTTAGTATGAAATATAAACTCAGTTGTGGGTTATTAACAAAACATGGCGTAGTGTCATATGTGAGCCAGGTTGGATAGACCCATGAGAAAATGGCAATGTTGCAATAAAAATAATGCTCCAATGTTCTACAGAGACAAAGCTACAGATCCTAAATAACATCACAGTCATAAAACAAACAAAGATTGATGTTACCGCATAGTATTTGGTTGGCCACTCAATTCCAATGATTGGATCCTATAGGGATCATTTAAGAACTAAACACACATGGAAAGGTCAAAAGGAAACACATTTCTAGAAACATAATAAATAACTTTTCAAAAAGTAATGATATGGGTGTTTTCAAAGTTAACAAAGCGAACAAGAATAAAATAAAACCCATCAGATAACACCTTAAATATTTTCAGCATGATCAAAATAAATACAAAAATATACAGATCAGTAGCAGCACACATACAAAAAAAAACCCAACCTACTGGCCAGTGAGACTTGATAAATATTTCATTTCCTTTGTTTCCCCTTTCCAATTGTCACCTCTTAGGGTCTATAATCATTCATTAAGTCTACAAACTTCCGAACAGGCTGAAGATTTATGCCAAAAAGATACCAATCCTTTACCTTCAGGAGCTGATGTGAAGTCTTTGATGCTCTCTGAACTTGTTTTCTTGCATCATCAATGCTAGAAGGGAGTGGGGTTTGCTCTCAGTTGATGTTAGTACTGATGATGTTATCTTGTTGAGTAATGAAAGGTCTGCAAGAAGCTCAGAGAGGTCACCGAGCTCAGAGAGACCCAAGGACTCCACAGTCACCCTGAGCTAAAGATATTCTCTTCTATCAGTAAGAGCTAATGTGCCCTTCATAATCCCCTTGGATTTTTGATAGATCTGTACTATTCGCAGCTGAGTTTTGGGACGAATAGTAATTAGGCACTCCTCCATCTCAACTCCTGTCTGAAGTAAGTATCTCAGTTTTTTATTTTGTTGCATGGATATGTTCTTTACCTTCAAATCTAGTCTTTTCTTCCCCTTTAAATGAAATCTCTAACAAAAGGATGGAACCTAGAAAAGGATTAAACCCTTTGTTAGTGCCTCCAGATGTGCCAACTTTATGACTTTCATAGGTGGCAGTGGAATTATGGGAACTGAAGTCCAGCCCATCTGGATAGCACAGGGCTGGGGTAGAGAGCTGTAGCATCTATCTCTAAAGACTAAGATTAGGAGAACTGGAAAGGCAACTCTCCAAAAGTTTAAAACTCTGAAGGTTACAAATGAAAAGTTAAAAACCAAAGGTACCCCTGAGGAAGAGATGTTTGCTCACGTTGGTGTTGTGCATTGTTGTCACCTGAACACCACAAGAACATAGTATATTAAAAAGAGAGAGAGAACTCTTAATTCCTTTAACCGTTGAGATTGCAAGGAAATGTGATTCCTGCAAGCATGCCCAAGATAGGACTTAGTGGCCATCTCTACCAGGTCAACCTCCAGAGAAGGGCAGAGACTTCTAATGAGAACGGTTTCACTTGATTTGGGTTAGAAGTTCACAAAGACAGCATACATATTGCTGCATAGTACCTATGCATTTGTCCAGGATAAGGGTGAGCAACTATGGCGGCTTTACAACCTCTGGACTTCCAACTCCCAGAATTCCTGAGCCAGGAATTCTGGGAGTTGAAGTCTGCTAGTCTTAAAGGAGCCATAGCTGCTCATCCCAGTCTAGGTCTAGGATGTGCTTTAAAGGAAGCACTTGCGTCAGAAAGCAGAATTTTAGAGATTTGGAGGCTACTAGTCTCCATCGCTAGATCTAACTGAAACGATACAGCACAGCACAAATTTAAAAAAAAAAAATCATTTTCAGGTTTTTGTCCTCAAATCAAGAATGCCAGGACTGATTGTGGATGTTTTGCCCAAAATGGGAAGCATTAAAAAAAAAAAAAATTAATGGTAGAAAGTATGAAGACAGGAAAAGATACCAGCTACTTCAAAATAATTTGAGAACTGTTTTTCCTATTTCGTTTAAAGTACGCAAGTCAGCATCATCTTAGAGGCAATTCCAACAGATAAAAAGACCCAAATTAGGGAAAGGAAATTCTCTCATTCATTCTAACGTACTGCACCCAGGCATACGTGAATTTGCTTTCATTGGATCTTCCCTCCCAAATAATGATTATTTTGCAGGGAGCTACAGCCACTCGAGTACGTAGAGCAGGAGTGTCAAATTCGAGGGCCGCATTAGGGTTGTGTTTGACCTCGGGGGGGGGGGAGTGGCCAGGATGGGAGTGGCCATCTCGATGTCATCTCGTGTCGGGGGTGCCTGTGGTGACCTGAGCGCTCTGCCAGAGAAAATGGGCTCCCGAGAACCGTTTTTGCTAACAGAAGTGACGTGGGCCAGTCCTTCATTGTTTCCAGAGCGTCCCCGTGGGCCAGATCTAAGCACCCCACGAGCCCAGGGGTGGAATTCTACCGGTTCAAACCGGTTCAGGTGAACCGGTAGCTCCAAGGATTAGCTGGGGGCGAACCAGTTTGGTTTGCTCTGACAATCAGCTATTGGGCCCACCCACCCACCCAGGCTCTAGGCTGTGCTTTATATCCTGTTTTCCAAGTTCAACTGATTTGCGCAGCACAAGCGGATTGCCACACGCCAGCTGTTTAACACACAGGGATTGCTGGAGAAGGTCAGTAGCAAACTGTTATACCGGTCGAATTGCACCCTTACACGGGCCAGATCCAGTCCGTGGGTCTTGAGTTTGACACCCCTGATGTAGAGGAACCGGATGCTACCAAATTGAAGCCGGAAGCTTTTTCCAGTTTTTTCTATTTTGAAAATGTTTCAGACCTCACCTGACCTCATCAGTTTGCTATTTATTAAAACAACACATCTTTCTCTTGGCTTCTGGATGGGCCTAAAAAACAACAACATTGATTTAAAAAGAATTTAATCCCAAGACTCTCTCTTTCCAAGACTCACTCAAGCAGTCGGTCAGTCAGTGCACTACATTTTTCCTTTTTTTTTTTTTTTTTGCTTATTTTTTTTTAATAGCAGCTGAGTCCCTACTGGTTCAATTCACCCAGTTCTTATCATTCTGACTAGCCACAGAGGCCTCTCCTGTCTCTGCTTCACACACACACACACCCCTCAAACCGATATACAACTAGAGATTGTGGGACTTAACCAGGGAGGAGGAATTGGAAGTGTTCCCCGGACAGGTGGCACCTTAAGCTGGCCCTTTGTCGTTTGTTTCACCAAGTCGCCTTATGCAAAAGTGGCACAATGCACAGCAAAGAAAAAAAAAAAGGGTGTGTGTGTGTGTGTGAACCCTTCACACTACTTTCTCAAGCAAAGCTCACTCATGCAAAGGGAAGGGAAGGGGGACCAGTGAGAGGGGCAGGTTCTGCCTCGAAGGCAGCTAATGGACCGAACACATCCACATTACAGTATCCTGTGGCACGCATTCCTGCCAATTGGGAGCGTGACCCCGCTTCTCTTTGTCTTCTGACTGAAATCCATCGACTTCACAGATAGGTTGGCGAGTTTTTGAGAAGCACGGAGAGAGCTGGGGAGCAGGCCTCCTAAGGCACAGAGCACAGATGCAGGGCACGTGGCAGGCAAGCAAGCAGAAGCTGCTCCCTACATAGGGAAAAGTCCCAAAAAAAAGAAGAAGAAGAAGAAGAGCGGCTTATCACGGCTCGAGTCTCATTGGACGTAGCCGAGGTTCTCCATCTCGTTCTTATACCGCTGTTCGGAGACTTTGCTTTTATGTTGCTTGCTCTCCAAATGCTGCCGGAACTCCACTTCCTCGCTGGCCCCGGCGTTACACATGGAGCAGTAGAACTGGCCGCTGGGGGTGACGCACATGGCGAGGTCACGAGGTATCCGCTGACGGGAGCGTGGGTTGAAATAAGGGCCTGGAGGAAAGCAAGCAAGCGAGACATTTTTGGGGTACAGCCAACCAGGAAGAATTTCCCGAGAAGGTGACATTCATCAGAACTCAGCTGGTTCCACCCTCAAAGCACATCAACAACTCACGAGAACCAGTACTTTTTCTTGAATGCAAACAGTCCTGGACTTACAACGGTATAGTAACCATTTAAACTTACAACAGCACTGGAAAAAAGTGACTTACAACCATTGAGACGTGGTGGCGCAGTGGTTAGAGTGCAGTACTGCAGGCTACTTCTGCTGACTGCTGGCTGACTGCAATTTGGCAGTTCGATTCTCACCAGGCTCAAGGTTGGCTCAGCCTCCCAGCCTTCCGAGTTGGGTAAAAGGAGGAGTCAGATTGTTGCTGACTCTGTAAACTGCTTAGAGAGGGCTGTCAAGCACTGTGAAGTGGTAGATAACTCTAAGTGCTATTGTTATTGACACAACCCTGTAGTCACATGATCAAAATTCAGGCACTTGGCAAGCGGCATGACGGTTTCAGTGCCCGGAGGTCATGTGATCACCTTTTGCAACTTTCTGATGAGCAAAGCCAATGGGGAAGACAGATTCATTTAACAACCATGTTGCTAAGTTAACAACCACAATGATACACTTGATAATTGTGGCAAGAAAGGTGGTTAAAATGGGGCAAAACTCATCTAAGAGCTGTGGAAATTTTGCAGTGGAAATTTTGGACTCCCTCACGCTCATAAATCAAAGACCACCCGTATTAAGACGACTTAAGCTACAGCACTAAGAGTGGGATTGGGGTTGCACAACATGACAGCCTTGTGTGGGAGAGTGCATGAGTTCCAGAGGAGCTTCAGGGAATAGGATAAGTGGAGTTTTTGATACTCAGTTCTGCACCTTTATAAAAAGGAACTGGGGCTGAAACATGGGTGTTTCCTTGGCTTAGAACAGGGCACTCAAAACTCATCAGCTTTAAGATTTGTGGATTTCAACTCCCAGAATTCCCCAGCCAGCAGAATTGCAGAGTTTGGAGTCTTAGAGTGAGAGAAAGTTCTGGTTTTTATCCTACTCCATTTAAACAAAACAAAATTTAAGAAAAAAAACCCAAAATCCCACCAAATTGTTGTTACCAAAGACTCTTGCCGTTCTTTGACCGTACCTGTGTTATTTTGCACAGCATAAACATTCCTTCTGTTCTGCATCATCTTGAATTCATTCCCTTCTTTTCGCGCTTTTCTTTTGCTGGCCACTTCGGGCGACTCTCTGTGATTGACGATACGAAAACACAAATTAATTGCAGGGAAGCGAGGAAGATTTTACAGGCATCAGCAGGAAAAGTTAGCAGAACTTTGGCTGGAGCTGTTTACCACTGGTGAGCATTTTAATAATACCTACAAGAACGAGTTGTTCTGTGCCTCGGCCAGGCGCAGCCTCTTGGCATGATTTTTGCCCTGGTAGTGAGCCTGGGCCACCGCTGGTGAAGAAAACGACGCATCACACAGTTTGCAATAATCGTTCTCCGTGGCCAAGATCACTCGTCCCCCTGGTTTCGTGGAGGACCCCTGGGCAAAACAGGAAAATAGATTCAGATATATCAAAACAGTTGCTGTTTTTTCCAAACAAAAGTTCTGAATGAGACCCACCCACCCAAAACTGTCAATACAGTATATTAGGACCCGGTGTTACAGGTTTGGTTTTTGCTGCCAACCCTGTAGCTGACCTGGCCAAAGCCATTTTGAGGCTTCAGGGTTGCCACACTGGAGCTAAGGGATAGGGAGGAGGGAATTGAGATAGCTGGGGTTTGGTAGCCAAAACAAAATACTTTATCCTGGGAGCGAAGGACATTTCCACAGGTGGTTGAAGAGAGGAGGAGAGAAGTTACCAGGCAACCGGATGGCACCTTGATTGGACCATGTAACTGATTGTTTGGGAAAAGGGAGAAAACTTTTACTTTTAATTAGGTGAAAACTGTGAGAACATTCAGAGTTGGTTTTCACCAGCTTGTGCCAATATGATATATACCAATAAAACTATTCTTTGAGGAACCTGTTTGCCTCGGTGTTCTGTTTGCTATGGGTGTATTACTTGGAACCCTGACATTTGCCATATTTGCCTACATGACTTCATAAGCAGTCCGAAAGACTTTGGATGACTCCACCTTATGAAATGCAGTGCATGACAGCTGAAAGATATTTTCTTTTTCCCTTGTTCCCCAATTCTCAATTTTCTACAGGGAAACTCATTTAGTGTCTATAGACTATTTTCATGTGTGAATTAAAGGCAAGGTTATAGGTTGCTTGATCCAGATTTCTGGAGTGCAGAAAACCACCAATTGGAAAACCATCAGAGCTCTAAGGAAACTGCTCCATTGTTTAACACAAGGGGTTCGAGTCTTGGCAACTTTAAAGACTGGTGGGCTTCATTTCCCAGAATTCCCCAGCATGGGCTGGCTGGGAAATTCTGGAAGTTGAAATCGACAGCTCTTAAATTTATTTATATACTAGCTCTATGCCCATGCTTTGCTACAAAATTATGTGATCGGGCTTAGTTTTAGGGGAGGAAAATAAGGGGGGAAAATTGTGCCTCTGCCTACCAGCATCCATCAGTATTCATCTGTCCTGTCAGTGTGTGAGACAGTTGAGGGCTGTTTGGAAACTGAAGTAATATTTGCTGTGTGAGCAAGAAGGAGACAGCTAGGAGCCTGGGCGTGGCTTAGCTCAACTGTTCTGTACTAACTGCTTGGTGCTGTGAAACGAAAACTGAATCTGAAACTCCTCTCCTCTGCTTGGGCTTTGCATTTGGAACAGATTTCTTTTCAGGGGGAGGAGGAGAAGAACTCCTTAACATCAAAATGTGTAAATAATAATTTAAACAAAATACTAATGCTCTGATGGTCATTTTGAAAAATCCTTTCTTAGTGAGCACCTAGAAGTAAAGAGGAACATACATGCCAAATTTCAAGTTGTAGGCTTTATGGTTCTGGAGATTTTTGTGATGATACATGAGTGGTATTTCACTTTATATGTGTGTGTGTGTGTGTGTGTGTGTGTGTGTGTGTGTGTGTGTGTATTCAGCTTTGTTCGGGTATTTTCCCACGTCATTATAGTTGTGCTTTTAATGTTGTAGCAACGTTTCGGCAGAATGTCATCTGCCTTCATCAGGCTTCTGTATAGTGTTCGTCTGTGAGTCAGACTTTCACAGCCGTTTCTGTTTTAAATTTGGTGCTAGCCTACTGCTGTGCCAGAATGGTTATTTCTTCATCCTGATTGGTTGGGAGTCTTGGTCTGTGTTTATTGGTCTTGGAGTTTGCTGTGTTCTGCTTGATTGGTGTTTCTAATATCTTCTGTCTTTTTTGTAGCTTTTTTTGTCTTGATTGGCTGGCAACATTGTGTTTCCTGTATTGGAGGCTTTTAGTGCGGCTTAGCTCTGAGTAAACAGATGGCTATCCTTTATTAGGAAGCTAGGTTTCATCTGGGTGCCTGGTAGGGGTGTGTTTGAGCTGGAGGTATCGGGGGGGGGGGAGGTCTGTTTGTGCCCAGGTGTTTGCCTGGCTTGTGGTGTGGAGATTTTTTTGTTTGAGAGTGCAATCCCTCCCTTAATATATATATGTATATATTAAAAAGGGCAGTGAGCCACCATGACTCTTTTTTGCTTAAGTTCCTCTATAGCTTTTAGCATGTTGATTTCCAAACATCAAGATCATGATGTAACACAATTCAATGCATGATTGCGTTGACCTTTTTATAGTTCCTCCAGCATTTTACGTGTCCACATTCAGATGATGGTCTCCTAGAACTCTCCGATCCTTTTCAAAAGCAATGCCATGAAGCCAGGTCCTCTTATCCAGAAACAGGATCGTCTACTTGTGATAGATGAACATCATCTTGTTGTATCTGACCCCCATACTCAAAGCCTGCCAAGGTCATTTTGAATTGTGATTTTGTACTCTTCGATATTAGGCAATTCAACAAGCTTGGTGACATCTGCAAATCGGGTAAACATCTGTTCCCTTCCATCTCAAGGTCATTTCTAACAAACATTTGACATTTCCCTCCAGGATAATATGGAACTATTTACAAGTATCATCCAGATATAATTCTTCAAACAGCTGTAAATCCATCACAGGACAGTCCTTTCTACCCCACGTTTATTCAAACTATCTTAGGCCTTTTATTATTTCCTATTGTTCATTACCTTTATTTTCATTTGATATTTTTAAAGTGGGTACCATTGCCCCATAAAAAGATACTTTAAGTAGTTAATCTTCTTTCTGGCTTATATTTCAAGGATTACAATTGCGTGTTACTGTTTTTGCAAATTACTCCCAAAATTCTGTGCTTCAGCAGCCTATCAACTTTAAAGTTTATCCTTAGAATATTTAAAGTTTATCCTTAGAATATAGAATATTTACATTTCTACTTTCTTAGCAAATTCAACATGTTTCAATTTTCATTTTCCTATTCATCTGTCCATTTTTTTTGCCAACAGTCTTTAGGCTGAGATATTGACTGGTTCACTGTTACTAGTACATTTTTGATGAGTCTCCTTTTCAAACTACTTTGTAAAATCATAGTATCCTAGATGGCTTCACTGGAAATTATTCCCAAAACAGCACATTTACTTTTATGAGGGTAAATATTGTGAAAGGACATTTTAGATTTTTAAAGAAGCTCCTCTTTTTTTAATCTAAGAAGCTGCCTCCCCCCAGTGGCCAACCTTATGAATTTACACTTGAATTGAGGGAATATAATTAATTCCTTTAATTAAGGGATCTGAGCTACACTGAAAGAGATATAAGAAAGTCAATTTTCTCTGTGTTTCTTCTATAATACAGAAGAAACTCTAATAAAAGGTAAGTTTGGGGAAATGCCTGTCTCGGAGTTTATTGGGTTAGAGTTTGTTAGCTGGAACGCTGACACATTTATTTTACAGTTCCCCAATCCTTTCAGACTTATGGATACATCTGAATGTAGCTTAAGGGTTGCCTTCTCCACCTGGCAGCCAGAGATTCAGTTTCTCAGGAAATAAACTGATGAAGATGCCAGTTTCTCAGGAAATAAATTGATGAAGATTCCATTAAAATAACTGGTACATGAATCCGAATTTTAGCAGAGGGCAGGAACTAGTTATAAAATACATAGGCAACATGAAATCCAGGCATCGAATGTCATAATACCTATTTATTCCCATGATCCACACCAAAATGTCACTTTTATACATATCATCACTCAACTTACAACCACAACTAAACCCAAAATTTCCATTGCTAAGTGAGACAGTTGTGAAATGAGTTCTGCCCCATTTTATGACCTTTCTTACCAGTGATGTTAAGTGAATAGATAGATAGAATAGATAGAATTCTTTATTGGCCAAGTGTGGTTGAACACACAAGGAATTTGTCTTGGTGCAAATACTCTCAGTATACATAAAAGAAAAGATACATTCGTCAAGAGTCAAGAACGATAGTCATAGGGTACAATAAGCAATCAAATCATACTAGGAAACAGTCAATATAGATCGTAAGGGTACAAGCGACAAAGTTACAGTCATACGGTCACAAGTGGGAGGGGATGGGTGATAAGGAGTGATGAGAAGATTAACAGTAATAATAGTGCAGACTTTGTAATAGTTGAACAGTGTTGAAGTAATTATTTGTTTAGCAGAGTGATGGCTTTCAGGAAAAAACTGTTCTCCTGTCTAGTTGTTCTGGTGTGAAATGCTCTATAGCGTCGTCATAGCGAATAGCTGCAGCTGCTAAGTTAGTAAAATGGTTAAGTGAATTTGGCTTCCCCCTTGACTTTACAAAAGTCAAGGTCGCAAAAGGGGATCACATCCGTGATGCTATTCTACCGGTTCTGGCGTACCGGTAGTGCCGAAGATCAGCTGAGACCGAACCCGTTCTCTCTGACAAGCTGCTGTTGGACCCACCTGCCCGCCTGGGCTCCCAAACTGACCTTTATTCCCTGCTTTTGAAGCGCAGCTGCTTTGCGCGGCACACCAGATTGCCGCACGTCAACTGTTGAAGCTGCAGGGATTGCAGGAGGCAAGTAAGAAACCCTCTGTGCATGCACAAAGTGTGCGTTTGGCACCCGTGCGTGCAAACTGTGTGCGGGTGCGTAAAGCGCCCCCACCAAGCCACACCCACCAAAACGGTGGTAAACCTCTTTGAAACCCACCTGGATCACATGATCCCAGGACAGTGCAACCATCATAAACACATGCCAGCTGCCAAGCATCCAAATTTTGATCTTACGACCATGGGGATGCCACAACAGTCATAAGTATGAAAACCTGGTCATAAGTCACTTTTTTCAGCGCTGTTGTGACTTTTAATGATCACTAAATGAATGGTTATAGCTTGAGGACTATCTGTAACAGATAAATGGAGATAGCTTTATCTGTAACAGATAAATGCATTATTTTTATAGAACTCAAAGAAGTGGGCGAGTAAAAAAACTTGATGGGCGACAAGGAATATCTGCAGGCACAGAGACTGATGATCGCATACTTACTAGTCTTCTTCACATGATACATCATGAGGAAGGAAGAAGCACTTTGTTCAAATTCCAAGCCTGAATTTATTCCACCCAGCCAATATATTTAAAGGAAGTCTCTGGATGACTTATTACTTGCGACAGCCAAGAAAACAAAGCGATGGATCATCGAACAAATCAACCCAGAGTTGTCACTCAAGGCACACATGCCCAAATTATTCTACTTGGAAACATTATGCAAAGAGGAGAAGGCTGTAATGCTGGGAAAGGGGTAAGGAATGAGAAGAAGAGAACAGCCAGCAGCAAGATGGATGGACTTAAGTTACAGGCACGGTAAGCACATCATTGGAAGAGCTGAAAGAATAGTTGAGGATAGATTGTCATGGTGAAAAATCTACCTATGGGGCCCTAAGAGTGGAAAACAACTTGATGTCAATTAATCAATCAATCAACTGACTGAAAAGGGGAACTGTTGGGTCATTTCTGTCATTGTCAACTCTGAAGCAAACCTGACTGGAGCCATTTTGGAGGCTTCAGGGTGGCCACAATGTGAAGATGGGGTAGGGAGGGGGAACATAGTTAGATGAGGGGTTTGTAGCCAAAACGAAATAGTTTCCTGTGGGAACCAAGGACATTCCAACAGGTGGCTGGAGAGAGGAGGAGTCCAGTTACCATGCAACCAGCCAGCACCTTGATTAGACAATGTGACTGATTGTTTGGGGAAAGGGGAACTTTCACTTTTTAATCAGGTGAAAACCACGGGAACTTTCAGACTCGGTTTTCACTACTTTGTGCCAATAAAATTTATCACCAATAAAATTGTTCTTTGAGGAATGTGCCTGCCTCGGAGTTCTGCTTTCTAGTTATTATTTAGAACGGTGACAGTCATACAAACAGGGATCTTCTCAATTGTGCTCTCAACTAATGACAATTGAGCCCAAAATTTCTGCTGCTAAGCAAGGAAGTTAAGAGAATTGTGTCTCTTTTGTGACCTTTTTGCCATGGTTGTTCAGCATCACTACAGTTATTAAATGAATCGTGAAGTTAAGAGAAGTGGGCTTCCTCCATTGACTTCGCTTGTCCGAAGCTCACTAGGTGGGTTCCAAATGACAAACACAGGACTCTGGTACGCTGGAACCATCATAAATACATGCCGGTTGAAAAGCACCCATCGTCTGATCCAGAAGTTCTGATAGCGGAAATTTTGAGTAGTTCGGAGAACCGGTAAATACCACCTCTGTTTGGCCCCACCATCTATTCTCTGCCTCCCGAGTCCCAGCTGATCGGAATCCCAGCTGATCGGCTGGGTCTTCTTTTGTTACCCTGCACAGGAGAATGGAGCTGGAAAGCAGGTTAGTGGGGTGGGGAGGGAATGGAGATTTTGCAGTATCGTTTCCCTGGAGTGGGGTGAAAATGGGGATTTTGCAGTATCCTTCCCCTGCCACGCCCACCAAGCCACGCCCACCAAGCCACGCCACACCCACCAAGCCACGCCCACAGAACCGGTAGTAAAAAAAATTGAATACCACCACTGGTCTGACCATGTGACTGCTGCAATGGTCATATGTGTGAGAACTGGTGCTAGGTCTCTTTTTTAGTGCTGTTATAACTCTGAACAGTCATTAAATGAATGAAGACTTGTCATATAGTCAGTCAAAGTCTAACTGTATGCTGTCTGCATCACTGGCTGATCTCACAAAACAACACATAATTCTATAGTTCTGGGGACAGGAAGGAGCATGAAAACTTGAATGCCGTTCTGTTTCCAGGCCACGTATTTATGCCAAGGTGCACACTCAGCTCCTGCTTTGTCATCTTATGGAACCCAGAAGGTGCTCTTTTTATGCCCTGTGAAACAGCCTCCCCTCTCTCAGGTTTAGATGGTCCCAACTCTTTTAGTCTTTGGGAAGGCCTTAAAAATGGGCCTTCTCTCAGGCTTTAGGGAAATTGGAAGCCTGCTTTTGACGCTACTGATGAAGCTACTTTTGATTGCGGCCCTCAATGAAATTACGTTTGACACCCCTGATCTAGGCAATATACTGAATAATATCTGGTCGTTTACATTTAAACCAGTGGTTCCCATTGTGGGGCCCATGTGGCTGGCATGACTCAACGCCTTCCAAGGTGCATGGAGCACCGTTCCCTTCCCACCAAAGGGGTCCCTATTTTCCAACTTGCATTTTTTACGTGCTTTCGAACTGCTAGGTTGGCAGAAGCTGCTGGGACAAGGAACGGGAGTTCACTCCGTGATGCGGTGCTAGGGATTTGAACCACCAAACTGCCGACCTTTTCTGATCGACAAGCTCAGCATCTTAGCCACTGAGCCACCTTATACTTGTACCTTTGGTTTTTTTTTTTCCCTTTGACTCTTTGCAACAGAGGCCCAGCCCATTTGATTTCAGGATCCAGAAGACTGTTATGGTTTGCCGGCAGCCGGTACAGACAGCAATGGAGTCAGACAGCGAGGAAGAATGGGGACCAGTCCGGGAAACTGGAGAGGACTCAGACGAGGGTCCTGCGTCCAGAGATGGGGCCAGGACCATCTGGGAGTGCAATTTGATTTTTAATGGGGGCAATTCAAAAATAAGCTATTAACTGAATTTTTGAAAGCCCGTTAATTGTTCTTATATATTTGTGATGAAACAGTTGTGTTTCATTTACTTATAACAATAAGTAAATATAACAATTTGTTGTCATAATTTAATTTCATTTAATTATAACAATAACAAATATAACAATTTGTTAAAGTGCATTTCCTAGGGCCTGCTCTGTAAAGGCTATCCCAGCTGGGAGGAGGAGGGAGCAACTGCCAGCTAATCAGATGTGTTCCCACTAAGGATCATGGGACTGCCAAGAGTCTCTCTCTCTCTCTCTCTCTCTCTCTCTCTCTCTCTCTCTCTTGTGGGCTTTGCTGCTGGATGGTTGCAGTGGGAAGCCCAGCAGTGAGGATACAGAACCAGGACCCGAGTTTAAGCAAGAAATTGTTAGATTGATAGTTATTTTTAGTCTGTATTTTCCCAGGCCATGTTTTACAACAGTGGCCCCCAACCTTTTTTTGTTCCACGGCCCGGTACCGGCATCACAAAATGATCCACGGACCGGTACCGGCATCGGCACGCACGACCAAGGCAAGGCAAGCCGAGCGACCGGCTAGCCAGCCGTCCCCCGCTTCTCCCCGCCACCTTCAACTCCTCCTTTGTACCTTCTCGCGGTTGATGGGCTTTTCGGGCTCTTTCTTAATCTCCTCCTGAGTAACGCGAGACTCCATCGCCATCGGGACAGCTCTTCGTTCGAAGCCGCCCCCCCCCCCTCGACGAAACTAAGGCGCGAGGATTCCTTCAGCACCCAAATGCCACTTTCCATCCAACCGACGACCGACAAGCTCACCCGGAAGCACTTTCTCAAGCGCCGTCGAAACAAGATGGCGGCACCCAAGCAAAGTAGGCGGCCCGGTACAAAATGATCCACGGACCGGTACAGGTCTGGGGCCCGGTGGTTGGGGACCACTGTTTTACAAGACTTTTCCTCTCAGAACAATTTGGGGCTGGGCCTCACACATGTGATTGTGTGTGATTCACCACCACCTACTGAACTACCAAAGCATTTCCCCACTAAACTTCAGGTTCAAACTGAGTGGTGTCATAGGTTACAACCCCTTTTTGTTCATGACAATCTTATTGTGCATAAATTAAGCTAAGAATGTTTTTTTTAATTTCCCTTTTTCTTTTTAAATTTTCCTGGGAGTAAGCCCCATAGAAGACGATAGTACTTACTTCTGAGTAGACATGCATAGGATTGTGTTGTAAATATGATCTTGAGGTGAGCTTAAATTGTATTTTGTATTTGTTAGGTACCTTTATTTTAATGTGTATAGTAATTAATATGATCAAAGCATTACAGAAAAAGCTTTCATTAAAATTATTTTATATTTATGCATTTCAGTCCTCTATTATATGTTTTGAAACTTTATTTGCTGTTTTATATATCCCTTCATACTATTATTTTTTAAGTTCCTCGGTACTTCTAGTGTCTTTCGTTCTTTTATTTTTCTCTTTCATGGATGCCATGTTCTTTGGAACCTTGTTTAAACCAAGTTAATGGCCTTTTAGGCTTCCTCCATGTGAGTAGGAGTTCACTTTTTGAATAGTAAGAATTGTATGTGGGGCAAGATAGGCATCAGGATTTTAGAGATGCGTAGGTGGGGCATGGCCAAAAAAAGGTGGGAACCACTGATTTAAACAATAACAATCCACAGAGAAAGGAAAGAATTAGAACATTCAAGGAAAAGCTTCTTAAACCTGCAGAGAGACTGCAGCTTTGGAGAGAAACAGATTGAAACGCTGGGGGCAATGAAACTTCCTGAGTTCCTGTTTAAAGAATAAAACCCCAACGTTATAAAACAAACACATGTTTAGTACCTCTAAATCTACCTTGCCTTAAAGTTGAATATTCACTCTCTGCTTTTCAACAAGCCAACTCAGCAGTTTGTAAGAAAACAGAATTAAAACTTAAGATTTAAAAGAAAACACGGACATCAGAACAGAACAGAACAATATGCAATATCCTTTGTCTTCTTGGAAGAACACACGCTACTGATTCATTAATACAGCACTGCTATCTATACATCCTTACCTGGGGTGCAAGAGACACCATCGGATGAGTAGCTGGCTCAAGAGAGTTACTCACTCGGGCAGGAGCTGGGCAGCTGCTGGCAGCATAGTAGTTCCGAAGTTTCTTACTGTGGTTTTTACCCTGGAAAACCAAATTTCTGTTATTAGCCTAGGAAAAAAAGTGCACCAAAGCCATCAGTGACCTATCACCATTCCTTCTTTAAGCCTTTATCAATACTAAGTGGTGGAATTAAATCTTCAGAGTGTCCTTTTCTGATTTATTTTTTTGGGGGTTTCCATGAGGGGTAGATGGGGGTTAGATTAAATAGGGAAATTAGTGCTTTAAGTCTTGCAGGGGTTGAAGGACCTTTTTTACCCCTTAGAACAGAGATCACCAACCTTTTGGACCTCAGGGACCACCAAACTCATAATTTTAAATCCCAGGGACCACTAACCTGTTCTGTGGGTGTGGCCTAATTTGTGGGTGTGGCTTGGTGGCCATGTGATTGGCTGAGCATGGCTTCTTTGTAAATATTATAAATATTTATATAAATATTGATTTTTTAAAATAAAAAAACAACTTTTATCCAAAATCAGGTAAAGCAGGCAGGCAGATTGAGTTGCTCACAGAATCACAGATTCATTCAGAGATCTATCTGCCATTGGCTAGGTCAGTCTGTCACATAAAATTTGCTTGCAAGCAAACTCATAAAATTTGCTAGCAAGCAAACTCACAAAAGTAACTCACAACACACCATGTATCTAAATATTGAATTTTTTTATTAAAAAAGAGCAACTTTTACCCAAAATCAGGCAAAGCAGGTAGGCAGATTGAGTTGCTCACAGAATCATTCAGTGACATATCTATCTGCCATCAGCTAGCTCAGTCTGTCACATAAAATTTGCTTGCCGTGAGTCTGCACTGAATAATAGAACCTTCAGTTCTAAGAAAAGCGGAGCCGAAGATCTAAAAACTAGCTAGAAAGCAAGAAATGCAACCATTTCCTGCTTTCTAGCTAATCTAAATCTCCAGGCACAGCAGAATAGCTGATAGTTGGAAAAAGGCAAAATAGCAACTTAGCAGGCAAGTTTGCCGGGTAAGGAGTGAGTGGGCAGGGAGGGTTCCTGCGGGCCATGTGGGCGGCGCAGTCTTGTGTTTCTGCGCAGCCTGCATTAATTGCTTTGGGGGTGACATTTCTCTGCAGCACACCAAAATTTTCTCGAGGCCCACCAGTGGGCCAGGGCCCACCGGTTGGCTACCGCTGCCTTAGAATGCCTGAAAATTGCTCCCTACCAAAAAGTCTTGAACACATACACGCAGGAGTAGAGTTCCAATGGGACATTCAATCTAAAATAGCTCTTGAAAAGAGAGACAAGTTGGTTGCTCCTGCCTGTACCAAGAAACAGGTCTTTGCAATCAGACTAGGAAAGCGGGGGGAAAAAAACCATAATCTCCCTATCTTTACAACCATTTAAATTTACTTACAATCATTCGTTTAGCGACCATAAGTTACAACAGCACTGAAAAAAGCAACTTATGACTGTTTTTTACACTCATGACCGTTGCAGCCTCCCCATGGTCACATAATCAAAATTTGGAGGCTTGGCAACTGGCATATACTTATGACAGTTGCACTGTCCTGAAGTCACATGATTACCATTCATAACCTTCCCCGCTGGCTTCTGGCAAGCAAAATCAATGGAGGAAGCCAGATTTGCTTTAACAACCATAGGATTCACTTAACAACTACAGTGATTCACTTTAACAACTGTGACAAAAATAATGTCCGGCAGAAACCTATTCTGTTCTGTTCTGTTCTGCTCTGCTCTGCTCTGCTCTGCTCTGCTCTGTTCTACTCTACTCTACTCTACTCTACTCTACTCTACTCTACTCTACTCTACTCTACTCTACTCTACTCTATGGCTTTATAGAGTGGTATTAGTACCTCACATGTTCTTGATTGAATCCCTCTGTTTGGGGATTGCCTTGATGTTGGCTTACGCATGGCCCTGGGGAAGAAGCCGAGGTCTCCTGAGATGCAGAGTGTGGATGGGATGGCCGTGCAAACCCTAAGGGGATCTGAATACAGTTGACGATCTATGGCAGTTTCCTTTAACCAATTGGCCTAGCAGGACAGAAGGAGTATGGATGCTTTTGAACTTTGGTGTTGGAGAAAATTCTGAAGACATCATGGACAACCAAGAAACAAACGATGGATTATCAGACAAACAGGCCTTGATCTTCAGCTGTGATTGAATTTGCAGATGGTAGTTGTGGCAATGTTTACTGTAATGACCCTTCAGATATAATCCTTCCTGAATTAGTTTGATTTGGCAGTTTTAGTTTGGTTACCCCCAACCTTAATTACACAAATGTGTTCGATGTGCGGCTACTCTCGGAAGACTTCTAGAAGTTGCAATTGGTGTAAAATACGACAACCAGGCTACCTTCTTTTTTTGACGTAAATACTGGTTTAATAGATTAAAATGTGATTCACACAGTCTAACTATTGTTACAAAGTCTCCAGCAGACCCTCCCTTATAATAATAGAATAGAATAGAATAGAATAGAATAGAATAGAATAGAATAGAATAGAATAGAATAGAA